TCTTCAAATAAGATAATTAGATAATGTGCACTTAAAATAAGACAATGCAATTGTTCTTTATAATTTTAAATGTAAGTTGTCTTGTTCCATTGGCAAACTGTCTCTTTTACCTGCACTATTCAAGAACAAATGTACTTATTTTAAGAAAAAAAGGCTTATCTAGGTTTTGATTTTTTTCCAGTGCACATTTTTGACTGCCAATGCTGTTGTGCAGAGCCACACACTGCTAAACCTTTGCTTTGTGTCATTACTGATGTATTTACATTCACATAGTGCACCGCAGCATAGAAACAGAATTGTGTACGCATGTAAAGTTCCAGCTTCAGTCAACAGGTCCCTGTCTGAATTAAGGCTTTGCATAAACACTCCCACTCATTGCAGATGTATACACCAACAAGCACAGCATCTCAGAGGCAGACACAACACAAACATTTCACTGTAATTTAAAGGGAGACTTTGAGACTGTAATTATTTTTCTGTTTTATTACCGCGGCAATTTGTTTTGCTCTCCCTCAGATGTTTGGTAACACTGTATGCTGGAAATTGGCTCCAGATGTGCTGAAAGCTATGTAAAGTATGCCCATTAGTGGACATACTTTCTTCTAATTTAGTTTAAAGTTATACTTTAAAAATATACATAATGGGGTAATTTATTCATATCTAAAAATCGAAATTCCTTTCAATAGTTTTCTAAGAATGCAGCCTGTGATGAGAATCTATTTTCACTTCTTCAGATCTTATAAAGTGATGAATCTTGCGGTTACAGTTTAATTACGGTGTAACGTAGGTTTTTTTTCTTATGTTACAGATTTTGCACCAGTCTTCAGCATCATCCTGCAGCCCAGCCACCTGAAACAAAGAGAGAACTCTGTGCACTAGTTGGTCGGAACAAAAGGGAGCCATGTTGATCATCTTAGCCTTCATCATCCTCTTTCATCTGGCTGCAGCCATCCTGCTCTTTGTTGCTACAATTCACAATGTAAGCACATACCTGTTTAAGTCCTCTGCAGATTGCATATCAAGGTATGCTTTTTAACTTTGTCAACCTTTCCTCTCACTGATAAAGGCGTGGTGGGTGGTGTCACCATTAGGGCGGGACGTGATCTATTCTGACTTGTGGTACTCCTGTAACCAAACCTGCTACCCCTTGGCAAACAGCCACTCTGTCAGTGCTGGTAAGATGAAGTATTTTCTTTGATTTACTAACATAAGACTGAATTATGTTTGTGTTTAAAAATTTTATTCATTTTCCTTCAGCTTATCTACAGGCAGTTCAGGCCGCTATCATCCTGGCGACCATTTTGTGCTGCGTCAGCTTCTTCGTCTTCATGCTTCAACTGTTCAGCATCAAACAGGGAGAGAGATTCATTTTTACAGCTATTATTCAGTTGTTTGCCTGTGAGTAAAACACACATGCAATCACTTTATGGACATGATGCAGTCAAATCCACATTGCTACTGCTGTATTGTTAAAACCGGAGGGGAATCAACATCCTACCCCTTTCCCACTGGCCGAAAAAAACCTGTTTACACCCGGGAATCATCGGCTTTTAGTGGCAGTGGAAAGAGCTCACTGACATCCGGGTCAGTAAGGTCGCTCGGCTCTGTTCGGCATGCTGTGGGAGCACCAGAGCTGGGTTGACCCGGAAATTACGTGACATCATTGAACACAACATACAGACGTCAACACACCACGGCAGTTGCCTCTGATCTAACAAGCTGAAAAAAATCTGTTTACATTTGATAAAGATGGAGAGGCACTGGAGAGAAGGAACCGGAGGGATAAAGGAGCGAAACTATAGAGCACTATAACTATGCCCTGGCTTCTTTACATGTTGCTCTTCATTATTTACTTCCCTGAATTCTGTCCCACTGGTCATAAACGCTCACCCAGGGTGATAGTGTCACCGGACATGAAGCTATGAGGGGACAGAGGCCACGCAGCTTGCCAGTGAGGGGTTAGACTCAGCTTTTTTTGACAATGGGAAGCTAGCCAGATGTAGATTGTTAGGTCGACCCATGTTTGAAAAAAGCCAGTTTAACACACTATTTTCAGTGGAAAAGAGGCTTAAGATGCAGAACTTTTTGTAAAAATTGTAAAATCAATCACTCATGAGTCAACATGTACTGATTAGTACCTTTACTGGGTGCATAGCGATGATAATATTAATTCAAATTAATCCACATTTTTATCCAAATTCTTATAATTTGCCGACCATTTATTTGTTTGCTTTTGCATCTCAGCTAATGCTGTATCAATCTAATGTGGGCATCAAAGCTTAGGTGGCCTATAAACTGTTTGTTGCTGCTAATTACTGGTACCAATTAAACTTGACATCGCCTAAGATCAAAATTTTATTGCCGAAGATCATTGCAATTCAAATGTTAAAGGATTATTCTGCAAACTGCCAGCCTGAAATCCCAGTGTGTGATGTGTCTGCATGCATATTTGCATGAAAACATGGGAGCTGATCCCACAGAATGTTTTCTTTTATGTTATGATCAATGTCAACTGTTAGGCTGTGTGCTTCCATCCTGATAAGTAAAAACACATCAGTTCCAGATCTAAACAGGGCCTTAATCAAACCTGTCCGTTAAACCAAAAATGGAGATTTTTGTTTTCCTGTTGCCTTTAAACAAAAAGCTAGCATAGTATGTTACTAGTAACTTACAAAAGCAGCTATACCATAACACTTTATGATTTAAAAGAGTGAATGTCTGGATTTTTATATACATATTTGATTTTTCTACTGTATAATTCTGCAATAGTAAATGCATCCTGAACATCCAATAAATAATGCCTGTTAGCTAACTTGTATCTTTCACTTTTTCCCCCTTCTTCTAGCTCTATGTGTGATGGTCTCTGTGTCCATCTACACAGCTGAGAATAAGAGCTTCCATGTGGCTGATCACCAAGAGGGCTCCTATGGTTCTTCTTACATCGTTGCGTGGGTTAGCTTTCCTATGACCTTCATTAGTGGCCTGATGTACCTTGCGCTCAGGAAACGTTAATGAATGAGGCAGGAAAGGAACAACGTGGGATATTTGGACATATATGCACAACAACAAAGGGGCATTTACACTTTGTTCTTTCAAACCATCAGGTTTGTAGTATTAACATCAAGGAACACCGCTGCAGAATATTTAATCACAAGTTCTGAAGCCCTCGTCAGCAGTGTCTGCATTCATTAGACCTATGCAAAAATTGTCTCCTTCTTTGTCTTTTCTGTTACCTACCAATTCCATCAATTTTTAATAACACAATATTTGAGTATGAAGCAACGCCCACATTTACAGAAGGGTCCATCATTTCATTAAAACTCGGCAGCATTTTTTTTGTACATTTTTGAAGTGTATGATTAGTTTAGATTTTAATAGTAGAAATAAATATATGTTAATCATATGTAGGATTTTAATGCTTGGGTTGTATTCTTTTAATGCTAAGTTGTGTTTTAATTGTGAAAAAGGAGCCAATGATGTAATGTGTTGTTTTGTGATTAAAATTGAATGAAACAAGCAAACTTGAAATATGAATGGAGGTTTCCTTTGTTACTTACTTTTATGATAGCTTTTCTGGAAGCTATTTATTGTTTTAAACCATTGTTTTATATTTTTTAACCAGGTGAATAGAGACTTTTTAAGAAATAAACTTTTGCTACTTCTTCTGCTCATAATTTCATATATGCCTGATAACCCCCACACTTGGTCTTGACCTTTATGGTTGAACATTTAAAGAAAGCAGTCATTCACTGATCTAATTTGTTCTAAAATCATGATTTTAGAACTATAATTTAAAACCCATTATCTGGGTTAGTCTAAAACAAAGGCCTGAGGAAATAAAAATGCAAATGATTATGCTCTGCAATCTTTAACTGAAACTTGAAAAAGAATGCAATGTTTATTAAAGGGTAAGTTTCTGAATCCTTTTTTTATTTAGACATTTTGTTCAAGTAAAGGAAAATCTTACAATTTTTCTCAAAATGCCTTTCAATTCTTCTAAACTAAACGTAATCACATCTTACAGCAACACATATGTAACGTTTATTGGACCACTCATTAGAAACACATAAGAAAAAGTCGATTTTCCCATCTTTTTTTAAAGTATTACCTTTACATTAGTTCAGCATTTCATTCATATATATTTTTAAGAGCTTATATTTAACACAGTTACTGTGTGTAATATCCCCTCAAGTATGTTGACAGTAGATGTGTAGTGCTATAGAGGCCTGTCACTTTTATTTTGTTTCATTCCATGCTATTGTTTTGACCACCTTGCAAGCAAATGACTGAAGCTGTCAGCTTCAATCATTTGTCAGACATTGTGTTCATAAATTATCTTGCCTAAACAGTTTTTGTATATGTGTGTGCTACTGACACCATGTGGACTATTTGGGAACTGCAGCATTTGTTTTTAAGGAAACATAAATTTGCCTGACATCGTTTTAATGTAAAATGTTAATAAATGTGAATGTATCAAAAATGTTTCTCCATTTTATAAAAGGTAAATAGCCTGTACTTACATAGTGCTTTTTCAAGTCAGATTTGACCAAAGTGCTATACACTATATTCAGTCTTTCAGTCATGCACACACTGATACTTATTTCCTGTAGTAGGGAGGGGTCTGACATCATACATAATAAGTTACTGTAGTAGGGACTGGTCTGACATCATATATACTTAGTTCCTTGTCTGACATCATAAATACATATTTCCTGTAGTAGGGACTGTCTGACATCATACATATTTAGTTCCTGGTCTGACATCATACATACTTAGTTACTGTAGTAGGGACTGGTCTGACATCATATATACTTAGTTCCTTGTCTGACATCATAAATACATATTTCCTGTAGTAGGGACTGTCTGACATCATACATATTTAGTTCCTGGTCTGACATCATACATACTTAGTTACTGTAGTAGGGACTGGTCTGACATCATATATACTTAGTTACTGTAGTAGGGACTGGTCTGACATCATATATACTTAGTTCCTT